CATATTTTTAGCCACAGTCCCTACCTAGTCATCCAGTCATCCCACATAAGTATTGTCCTGATCCTTGCCTGTGCCACTCTGGTGTAACCTTAGAGGAAAAATGAATCTTTACACTAAGCATACCCTCACCCTGTGTGTAAAAGAGGTGCCCCTTCTCCATTTTTGCCCCTGATCCTTTAGAAGATTATATGCACCTCTTCAGGCATGCACATATGCACACAGTGATTTTCAGCCATATCTATTACCAGTTCCATGACCATGGATTTGATTTGCTGCAATAAGACAGTACATGTAATGACAGCATTAAGGCTTGTTCTGCATATATAGAGTTTCAAGGAAAACGAAGACAGATGCGTCTCCCTTGCTGCCCTTACACATCAACAGAAATAAGACAAAAGCACATTCCTGGTGGCTACGCTGGCTGTGTTTAGCCCTGTCTGTGTGTGTTCTGCCCCATCACTTAAAGGGCCCAAATAACAGGCAATGCTGGATGTCTTGACTTGAAGCCAAGGCTCCTTGCCATCGTCAGCCGGTAACGTGAGTAATGAGCTCTGTCAGACGCTGGCGGCTAACTGATGTTTTCCACCACAGACAAACCTCCCTGAGAGCTGATGGCCACATGCTAAAGAATATATCCATGCATGCAAATGGCGATACATCTGCACGGCCTCTTCAGACAAAGGTGTTGAGATGATTGGAATGATAAGCCTACTTACTTACTACTCTCAGCTAGAGGTCATGACCTGAGTGTTTGATTTGGTATTGTGAGATTACACCTTTAAGACAAGCAGCAAGCACAACAAATTCATTATCAAGTTATATTTTCCTTACACCTTTTCTTTCACATAAAGGAGTTTTGTGTCTGAACTTCTTTAACAATTTAAGTTTGGCAGACCTAGTTTTGATATGGGGCCGGGATCTTTCTGCGTGGTTCTCTGGCTTCCTCACAGTCCAAAAACATATTGAGGTTAATTGGTGATTCTAAATTGTCCGTAGGTGTGAATGTGAGTGTGCTTGGTTGTCTGTCTCTCTGTGTAGCCCTGTGATAGACTGGTGACCTGTCCAGGGTGTCCCCTGCCTTCACTCTGAGTCAGCTGGGATAGACTCCAGCCCCCCGTGACCCTAGTGAGGACTAAGCGGTGTATAGATAATGGATGGATTGATGGATTAGAAATTTTGAGAGAAAGTGTGTAAAGAAGAAGCAGAAATGAAAGTTTTTCAAGAAATGAAATACAAGAAGAAAAGACAAACTACAGAAGCAAGTACGCAAGCAAGCAAGCAAGCAAGAAAGAAAGAAATGCTCATACAACATAATACAGCATTTGATTTATAGTGTAATTTCACAATATTTACCGCGTATTCCTCTGAACCTATGGTGAAATTTTGCCATGTAAATCAGTACTAACAAAATATTCACCTATTGGCACATAAGTCTAGGTACAGTGAAACAAGAAAGTAACAATTGTGTATTGTAGAGAAAGTAATAATACTGTAGTGATGTGTATTTTGTGTAAGTATTTTGTCAGTACTGAGCACTGAGTACCTATGCCTATGCCTTGAGTCAGCTGGGATAGACTCCAGCCCCCCACGACCCTAGTGAGGATTAAGTGGTGTATAGATAATGGATGGATGGATGAATAGTTCTGATATTAAAATTTCTTATGTGACACGAGTGATTTGGAATGGTGTTATGGAAAAAGCAAATGAAAAGTTAAAAGCTCTGAGGTAGTACAGAAGTGTTTCTGAATTGTTTTTAAGCCAAGAAATAGCTTGACATTGTCAGATTATTTGACAAGGGAAGGGCCTCCACTCCATGTTTGAAACCTCTGAGACAAACTTTTCACCAGTATTCAATTTATCATTAAGGTTCAAACTTCCACATATTTCAAGTTGGCTTTGAGCATCTTCTGCACCTGCAGCATTCAAATTTTCTTATACTGACTGTCAAGATGGATGATTAATCACAAACACATACCAAATAATAAGTAAATATTTTATGTGAGAAATTTCCTCAAAGTTACTTTGGTTGCATTGGTAAACAGCTCTTCTGAGTTACTGTGTTATTTCATTGTTTGTCTTGCAGTCCACATCCTAGTCTAGTTAAAATGTTGAGACAGATGTCCCCTTTCAGGGATGAAACTTGCAAGCTTTATCTCTCAGCCTGCTGTGACCCAAACCCATTTGTTCCCCTGTCTTGTAGGAAGCTGTTCAAAACAGACTAATGGTTTATTTTGATCTAGTTTAAGAAATAATGACAAAATGGAGAAAACACATACACAAAAAGCAGATCCTCAGCTTCATTGTGAAGGCCAGTCATTGTCTTTGAAACATTTTCTTTTTGACAGACAGCTTGGGTTTATAAAAATACACAGAAAAAAATGCTTCCTTATTTGTTTTATGCAGTGATTATTTTCCTCTGTGGGCTGAAAGAAATTTAAAGAGTAGAAACCAAACAAACAAAAAAAGAGTAATAAGAATGTCTGCTTTATAGGACACACCCTTTGTGTTTCTAACACATTAAGGAAAACTCAAGGCCACTTGTAAAATAAAACAACATCTTTCTCTCTTGGCCATAAAATAAAACAAGATTGGCTGCCTCTGCAAAAAAGCACACAGGCAGCACTTTTCTCCCTGTTTTCCTCTGAGAAGAATGATTGTAAATGTGTAATTAAATTAATAAAATAGTCCCAGGTAGTAAATCACTGCCCCCGAGGTTGCCTGATTGCACAGCTGTATATGTAAGTGTGTTTTTTTGTGTGCAAGCAAGATATATGGGGGTGGATGCCTGTAGGAGTGTGTTGTTAAGGGTTAGCATATTAAAATAAAAATGGCAACACAGGCTTTACATGTTCCCAAATCCTGAGGGCAAGGCTCTCACACAGCATTACCTCTGGTGGTTAGTAAGTTGAGGTGGGATTGCCATGGCACAAGGCTTTGGTACATAGTGCCAGTTTCTGTCATTATAAAAGCATTAAAAAGCTCCTCATTAAGCTATTTTCGGCACAGGGGTTGGTGCTGAGTGCTGTGAAGGGGTGTAAACATTGAGGCAGAGGCACTAGCTGCCAGTGATTCTGTGCCAGGGCACCTCTGTGTCAGTGGTGGTTACAGGGATGTAATTACAAACAGATGCTTATCAATGGGGCTCCAAGGGACCAGCGATGGTGTTTCAAAAAGTTCTCAGCCTCACCAGAAAACGTAATGGGAGAAGGATTGTTCTTGCATTGTTTTTCAATATAGCTTCTTGTATGAAGCATCCCTGAACCATGCACATGATTCAAGACCATTTAAGAAGGCAGCTAACTAAGACTTCTTTTCAGTTAGAACGTCTGCACCAGGTAGCAAACCTGCCAGATGTTTACAATGAACAGACAATTTAATGCCCGCTTGGAGACTGCCTTCCAAAGAAACTGATAATGGCGTCAAACTGTCAATTCTAAGACTACAAACATCTCTCGAGCAAAGAAGGTAAGGCATCCTTTGTGGCAACCTCCTGACTCACTTCACCACCTAACAATTACAACATGTACAATTTGTAAGGTCTTCACCTTCCTATGTTAAGCGCTATGTGATGACATATGTTGTGAACTGCGCTATACAAATAAAATTGAATTGAATGTATACATTGTAAGAAAAAATCCCAAGTTGACTCAACTTAAAATAATTTGTAACCTTGCTGCCGTAAAAATTTGATTAAGGCTGGCTAGCTAATCATTTCAGGTAATTTCAACTCACAACTGAGTTTCTCCAACTTAAAAGATCAAGTTCACATGGCTTATTGCTTTGTTCTGGGAACCTTCTTTTCTTAGTCAAATAAACAAATATTTTTGTTGTATCAACAACAGAACTCAAGTAATCTCAACTCATTTTTGATTCAGGCTAACAAATTGGTTAAGGTAATTTGACTTGAAATAAATTGTTTGCCTGATTTATAAGTGAGTTGAAATTACTTGAAATAATTTGCTAGCCTTAACCAAAATTTTAAGGCAGCAAGGCTACAAATTATTTTAAGTTGAGTCAACTTGTTTTTTTTTTTGTTTTACAGCATGTAACATAAAGGCTTACTCTTAACTGCAGTGGTCAAGGTCCAAATCTCACACAAATCCTGTGTTGAAAAATGCCATCTTGTCATGGCATGGCACCGCGTCATCTTCCCTGGGATAGCGAAATGAAAGCCAGATGGTGATTTAATCGCAGCCACACGTCAAACAGCCAGTGTTACAGCGCCATCGTCGTGTGACAACGTGAGTGTGCTTCTCTCTAATCCGAACCACTCAAAGCTATTCGTTGCAAGAATGCAGTATTTACACCAGAATTAACTTCAGCTTTAGTGTAGCTTTAGCAACACTTTTTGAGGGGAACGTCATTGTGTTCAAGTAACACAAGGCAATGCAACTGTGGATGTGGAAAGTGAAGTGCTTGAAATAGTTGCATTATTGGACGAAATGTATCTGACAAGAGTAGGCATACAGTAACCTATGTGAGGTTCACTCTGCTCTTAGAGATCAGTTTATTTAACAGAAAATTTTAGGATTTTGACACTGCCTTCTCCAAAGAGTATACCCTACAATATTAATACAACGCTTTTGTCGTACTTGCAGTTTGCCTTACATGGATGTCCACATGAAGCATAAAACCCCATTGAACAACTTTAAGCTGCGGCAATTTCTTTAAAAAAAACAAAACAAAAACTGACTCTCTCGCAATGGCTAAACCTTTGCAGATGTAAAGCCCCTTTAATCACATAAACAATCACTTCCGTTTATACAGGTTTATCTGGGTTAAAATATTTTCTAATCTATTTAAGGAGACCACAGGTTACATCTTTCCATTGGGATGCCACTTTGGATAGCCTATAACTGAAAACGACTTATGCATCTATTGTTGAAATAATCCTAGCTGTGTTGTTGTTTTTTTTTGCTGTCATTTTTTGAGAACAGCTGATTTTGAATATGTGATGGTAGCTGAAGATGATGGCAATTACCCAGTATTGATGCTGTGTCCTTTGTGTTTAAGTGTGGTGTGTGTTTGCGTGTGTGTGTGTGTGTGTGTGTGTGTGTGCGCGCACGTAAAGAGGGACCATCACGAGCAGTGAGAGCAGTTGGCTGCCATTCATTCTAAATGGACACTGGCATTTTCGAGCACCTTGGCGCCCGATGCCTTGTGACGCCAGCGTCCATTGAGAAAGAAATGCAGCCAACAGTGTTTGTTGTTTGTGACGGTCCCTGTCTGCATGGACAGTTACTGAGGTTATGTGTGTGTGCCTGTAACTCCAGCATAACACAAAAGTTTTGTACAAAACTAAAAAAAAAAAAAACACGTTTCTTCCTATGTAAACAGGACACTTAAAACAGGATACAAATGTGAATTTCTTGCAAACATACCGGAAACAGGTATGTATTAACTAGTGCTAGAATAGAAATGACATGGTGGCTACTTTGTTTTGAAGAATATCTCTACACTGTGCGCTGAAGTAATTTGTTGCGCAGTCCATGAACCCGAGCAGAGCAGGGGCTTCCCTCAATGTCTGTGATTACCTTCTGAATGACCTCAAAGCTGTACTTCAGTCCCTTTGGGTAGTTGATGTTGAGGCAGTAAAGTAGTCCAATCAGCACCACAAAGCCATTTGGTACATCTCGCAACTCACGCAAAACAATGTGCTCCTCCAGGATTATTGCAACATCCACAGTGTTCTTTGATTGGGCTGTCATCTCCACATTTTGCTCTGTGGTGATCAGCAGGCCAACATCCACTCTTTTCATCACTGCCAGTTCCTCCACAGAGTCAGTGTTCTGAAGTATAGTAGAACAGACAATGTGTATGCCCCTAGCATTCAAAAGGATCCTATTTGTTGATGGTGTAGTTCGGCAGAGTTCCCTCCCTCTGAATGTGTTTTGTGTTGGTCCATTCTTCTGACATTTGGGTATCAGTCCTTTGGACTGTGGGGACAGGGTGAGGATAGCCCTCAACCAATAACTAAAACACTGCCGGACGGAGGAAACTCTGCAGATCTACACACCACTACACAGTCTAGTGAGGCCTAAGTAAACACTGAAATTGATTATTTTTTCATGAATACACTTTCTTTTTGTAAGGTAAATCCTATAAATTGTAACATTAAGTATATCACACATTACATGAATGTTGAATGAGTTTCCCCCCGATGAATCGCCACCTTATTGTGGTGGAGAGGTCTGAGTGTCCCTGTGATTCTGGGAGCTATGCTGTCCAGGGCATTAGCCCTTGGTAGGGTCTCCCAAGGCAAATTGGTTCTAGAGGAGGGACCAGTCAAAGAGCGATTCAGAAGACCCTGATGAAGACCAATGAAAGGAGTGTCGCCACCTCGCCTGGAAGAGGGAAACCGGGGCACCCCCCTGGAGCCAGGCCTGGGGGGGGGGCTCGCCGGAGAGCGTCTGGTGGCCGAGCCTTGGGGCCTCGTGGGGCTCGGTCGGGCACAGCCCGAAAACGCAACACGGGGCCACTTCCCAGAGGGCCCACCACCCACAGGGAAGAGGATTGGAGTCGGGTGCTATGCCCACCGGGTGGTAGGCAGGAGCGGGCGTCCTGGCATGCCACCCCCTGGTGGTGTAGACTAGCTCTGGGAACATGGAATGTCACCTCACTGGTGGGGAAGGAGCCTGAGCTGGTGCAGGAGGTGGAGCATTCCCGGCTAGATATAGTCGGGCTCACTTCCACGCACAGCAAGGGCTCCGGAACCATACTCCTGGAGAGGGGTTGGACTCTCTCCTTTTCCGGAGTTGCCCACGGTGAGAGGCGCCGGGCGGGTGTGGGGATACTCACAAGCCCCCGGCTGAGTGCCGCCTTGTTGGAGTTCTCCCCAGAGAACGAGAGGGTCGCCTCTCTGCAACTGCATGTTGCAGAGGAGAAAACTTTGACTGTGGTTTGTGCTTATGCACCAAACAGTAGTTCAGAGTATTTGGCCTTCTTAGAGTCACTGGGTGGTGTCCTGGAAGGGGTGCTGCCTGGGGACTCATGTCATGCTCACGTGGGCAATGACGGTGAAACCTGGAGGAGCATGATTGGGAGGAACAGCCTGCCTGATTTGAACCCGAGCGTTGTTTTGTTTTTGGACTTCTGTGCTAGCTATAACAAACACCATGTCTGAACATAAGGTTGCTCATAAGTGTACTTGGTACCAGAGTACCTTAGGCCAAAGGTCGATGATCGACTTTGTAGTCGTATCATTAGATCTGCGGCCGTATGTTTTGGACACTCGGGTGAAGAGAGGAGCAGAGCTGTCAACTGATCACCACCTGGTGGTGAGTTGGATCTTGTGGCAGGGAAGCCTGCCAGACAGACCCGGTAAACCCAAGCGCGTAGTGCAGGTGAACTGGGAACATCTGGCAGAGGCCCCTGTCCGTGGGGTTTTCAATTCCCACCTCCAGAAGAGTTTTTCCTGCATCCCGGGGGAGGTTGGGGACATGGAGTCAGAGTGGTCCATGGTCAAAGCCTCCATTGCAGAAGCAGCCGTTAGGAGCTGTGGCCAGAAGGTCACTAGTGCCTGTCGCGGCGGCAACCCCAAAACCGGCAGTGAGGGAAGCCGTCAGGCTGAAGAAGGAGACCTTTTGGACCTGGTTGGCTCGGGGGTCTCCTGAAGCAGCAGGCAGGTACCGGCTGGCCAAAAGGGCTGCAGCTGCGGCGGTTGTGAAAGCTAAAACTGTGGGAGAGGTCTGAGGAGTTTGGGGAGGCTATGGAGAAGGACTTTCGGTCGGCCCCGAGGAAGTTCTGGCAAACCGTCCGACGCCTCAGACAGGGGAGGCAGGGATTCGCCCAGGCTGTGTACAGTTGGGGAGGAGAACTGCTGACCCAGACTGGGGTGGAAGGAGCACTTTGAGGAACTCCTGAACCCGGTAAACACGTCCTCTGCTGAAGGAGCAGAGCTTGAAGACTGGGGGCTTCTGCGTCCATATCCATGGTTGAGGTCGCCGAGGTAGTTAAGAAGCTCCTCAGTGGCAAAGCGCCAGGTGTGGACGAGATGCACCCTGAGATACTGAAGGCTCTGGACATTGTCGGACTGTCATGGCTGACACGTCTCTTCAATGTCACGTGGGCATCGGGTACAGTGCCTGTGGAGTGGCAGACCGGGGTGGTGGTTCCCATTTTTACAAAGGGGGACCGGAGAGTGTGTGCCAATTATCGAGATATCACACTTCTCAGCCTCCCTGGGAAAGTTTACTGTAGGGTGCTGGAAAGGAGGCTTCGGCCGATTGTCGAACCTCGGATTCAGGAGGAGCAATGCGGATTCCGTCCTGGTCGTGGAACAGTGGACCAGCTCTTTACCCTTGCGGAGCTGCTGAGGGGGGCATGGGAATTCAACCTGTCAGTCCACATGTGCTTTGTGGATCTGGAGAAGGCCTATGACCGTGTCCCCCGAGGAACTCTCTGGGGGATTCAAACACACCTTGGAGAACTATATGAAGTTCGAGGATCCCTCGAACTTCATATAGTTGGAGGTTGGAGTTCTGCAACACCATCAAAACAGGCATTTGGGCTTTAGGGCCATATAAATCAAAATTTATCCCAAAACACAAATGAGACCACAATTTTCACATGACAGACAAAACCACACAAGAGCTCATACCTGCTTTTGTAATGGCTATGACAAAACTGATGTCAAAGTGCAGTTTTTGAAGTGAGGAGTACAATGTACAATGTGCACAGCTGATGTAACGGGTGTACAGTCATTTAGCCTTAAACTCGATAATTGGACCTTAACCCCCCCAATTGTTCACTTTCATCATAGCCATTACAGAAGCAAATGTATGGGCTCTAATGTTTTTCCAGCACCCATTTTGAAAAGAAGAAAAATGTGAGCATTTCAGAAACAAAACATGCTCACACATGTGTCTTAGGATGAATTGATTTCAATTACCCTAAGGTACTTCCGTAACAAAGGGGACCTTAACATTATGCCTTCAAGTCTTCTGGGTTGGAGTCTTGCTCGTCCAACCCAGCAGTGCCTGAAAAACAGACTCTAAACAGATGACATCATGATGCAATTGTCTCAGAAATCAGTACATTTTTCTACACAGATTATCATGCCAAATGTGGCTATTGTGTTTCCCATTCACTTACTTCAGAATCCAGACATTCAATAAGACTCTGGAGCTCCGTGTCGTGTCCCAGTTTTGTTTCACGTCTCTTTTGTGCTTCGTACAGGTTGATCAGCCTTGGCAAATGCTGGTCAAGTCCACTCAGGAAGGACTTCAGGAGGTCGGCAGACACACGACGTGTAAACTTGGCACTAATCTTTAAGGAGTGGACAAAAAACAAAAAATATTAAACACTCAGAAGACCAATTTGCTCATCCCTGGCTCAAGATAGGACATGTTAAATGGAAGGCACAGATGGATCAAACACAGACAACACAATTAATCAAGGACTAAGGAGAACATGTGGATTATGTTAGAACTTACCTGTCTTTCTGAAAACAATGCTGGCCATCTGCTTTCAATCTCAGTCACAAGTGGCTTCATTTCCAACGATTTCCTGTCTGCGCAGTGCAAATGTCCGGCCCATCAGTGCATCAATCAGATTACAGTCCAGCTTCTTCTTCTTGACTTCATCTAGCAAAAATAGCCACATGGACAGGACATTGACAGTTTAACGGACTGTATCACTGACTACATAAATTTCTGTGTAGAGACTACTGTGCCCACCAGGAGGGTACGGTGTTTCTCAAACAACAAGCCATGGGTGACTCCTGAGCTGAGAGACTTGCTGCTGGAAAAAAGGAGGGCTTTTAAGTCTGGTGACAGAGAAGAACTGAGGAGGGTACAGAGGGATCTCAAAAGAAAGATCAGAGAATGTAAGGCCAACTACAGGAAGAAAATGGAGGACCGGCTACAGAACAACAACGCGAGAGAGGTCTGGAGAGGACTCCAGACCATATCAGGGCAAGGCAAAGGCAAACAGAGGGACCCTGAACCGGGGGAGAGGGACTGGGCCAACAAGTTAAACCTGTTTTTCAACAGATTTGATACTGGTCTCACCCTCTCCACCTCCAGCCTGAGCACTGTCCTGTCTACCTCCAGCACCTCCAGCTCCTCTTCCCTAGTTGCCCCCTCCCCCTCCTCACCTCCCTCACCACCACCACCATCTCTGGGGTCCTCCTCTCTCCCCCCATCTTCTCCTCCTCTCCTCACACCAACAGTGGATCGGGTGAGAACGCAGCTTAGGAAGACCAGAGCCAGGAAAGCCACGGGTCCTGATGGCATCTGCTCCAGACTGCTCAGGGACTATGCAGACCAGCTCTGTCAGGTGGTCTGCTACATTTTCGATCTAAGCCTGAGACTGGAGAGAGTGCCTGCCAAGTGGAAGACTTCTTGTGTGGTCCCGGTCCCAAAGACCTTGTGTCCCAAGGAGCTCAACCATTTTAGACCCGTGGCCTTAACCTCCCATCTGATGAAGGCACTGGAGAGGATTGTCCTGAACCATCTTTGCCCTCTGGTGAGTCCAAACATGGATCCTCTGCAGTTTGCATACCAGGCTGGCATTGGGACGGATGACGCCATCATCTACCTGCTGCAGAGATCCCTGTCTCACCTGGAGGACACTGGAAACACCGTGAGGATCACGTTCTTCGACTTCTCCAGTGCCTTCAATACAATTCAACCCTCACTGCTTCGGGTGAAGCTGGAGAGAGCGGGGGTTAGTGACCAACTGGCTGCATGGACCATGGACTACCTCACTGACAGACCCCAGTATGTGAGGCTACAGAACTGTGTGTCTGATGTGTTGG